ACCTCCGAGTTGTTATGTTTATGTCACCTCTTGTTCCCCTAACAATGCCCCACAGCAAAGGTTGCCCCAAACCAACAGCGGCCGCTGCTGGGCAGGCGGCCTTCTGCCTCGAATGTGCACAGGCCGCGGCGGCGCGGACAGCGAGCCCTGTTCAGAATGAACAGGAACCGCTGTTGAGCATCGTACCCCTTCTTTCCGTGCCCATTTCGCTCGTGCAGAAGACCAGGGTTGGATGCTCGTTCTGGGGACCTTCCTGGAGCCACTCGCTCCACTCGTGCGTCGAAGCTGCGTCGAACGTCGGTCGATGTGGGTCGACCCTGAGGCCAACCTGAGTCGAACCTGAGTCGAACCTGAGTCGAACTTGAGTCGAACCTGAGTCGAACTTGAGTCGAACTGGGGTCGAACAGATCCGTTAGGTGGGCTCCAGGAAGGTCCCCGAAACGAGCATCGAACCAGGGCGTGGCCCCAGACAGCATCCGCCACCCGGCCGTGGGCTGGGCAGGCGCACTCCTCCTGTTCAAGGGGCCGGGCTCGCAGCCCCCCCCCTGTGCAGGCCGACCTGCGCGAGGTCGCGCGGGGGAGCGGTGCCGGTGGCCTCGCAAGGCTTACCAGCCTCGAACGTATCCCTATCCCTAAGATTGACACGCCAAAAGGCGATGACAATCTTAGGGATGCGCCCTCAAAAAATAAGGGAATCCCTAAGATTGGCATCGTGATGAGGAGGTGCCCAGCATAGGGATAGGGATATGTTCTAGGCTGGTAAGCTGTCCACCGCGTCGGAGAAGGGCTTCAGGCAGCTCGAGCCACATGGGGAGCACGAGCTGGCGCTCCAAGCCCTCCGCCCCAAGGACGACCCCAGAGGCCGTCGGCAGACTCCCAAGAGGCCCCCATGACGCACCCAAGAGGCCCCCGAGGGAGCCCCAAAGAAGCCTCCAGGGAGGCCCCCAGAAGCCACGCAGAGGTCAGAAGATGTCCACGAAAGCCGTCCAAGGTGCATCCACAACCGAGGCACGATGGCGGGGTGGGCCGCCGTGAATTTACACAAAGATGCGCATAGACATACACACACAGACAGACAGACAGACAGACAGACTGACTGAAAGACTGACTGACTGACAGACAGACAGACAGACAGAGATGCATACATTAAAAAATTCAGTCATTGATTTATTTGTCATACATACAGATATACATACATATGTGTGAATAGACTGACGTTCACATATACGTAGCTACGATGTGCACATACAACTATATATATACACACACATTAGCAAATACAGACATACAGACATACAGACATACAGACATACATACGTACAGACTTGCACGAAAGATAGTCTGACACGTTGCTGTTGGCCCGGCCCCGACCCCCCCCCGGGTGATTCGAACCTTCGCTGCCTTTGGGCGCCCCGGACTCCTGGACGGCCCTGCGCAGCGTCTCCTCGGCTGTCCGGGCCTGCCAAGACGTGCCTGGCGGGCCTCGAGAACGAGCCTGGACCACCACTGGCCATCGCTCGGACGTCCATGTCCTGTGTCTTTTCGGTTTCGTGCGTGGTTCTTTCGCGAAATGATCAAGGATGCTCCTCGATGGTCCTCGCCGAAGGAAAAATGCACACGTCCGAGCGATGCCCAGACCAAGGATGGCGCCCCAGACAACCTCACGAGAGGCACAAGTGGCCCCAGCACCCCCCGAGAACGCCAACGACGACCCAAAGAAGGCCTCCCAGAGGCCCCAGAACGCAAAGCAGCACTCATGTCCATACTGATATCGTGCCATCCGGAGCATGCGTTTCTTCGACAGCTTGTTTCTGACGCCAATACTTACTGCTGTCAACATGACGACATTAATTCGTGTACACATGTCCGCATGGAAAGTCCCGTGTTACCATGGTGAGCAGGACACGGACTTGGCTTTGTGCTGAAACCTGCATGGACAAAACATCGAGCTTGGACTTGACGAGGTCCGAATATCTGGACGGCGCGACTGTTCACGATGTCGCTTGGCAGCCGGTACAAACGC